TCATCTTTGAACCAGTTTAGGCCTATCTCTTTGTGCAGTGTTGTTTATAAGATTCTTGCTAAAATTCTGGCCATTAGACTCAAAGCCTATCTTAGCACTTGTATTAGTGACTGTCAGTCTGCATTTATACAAGACAGGCAATTGTTAGATAATGTTATCCTGGCCCAAGAAGTTTTCCATTTCTTAAATAGGTATAAAACTGGAAAGAATTGCTTTATGGCTCTAATGCTAGATCTTATGAAAGCCTTTGACAGGGTTGAATGGGTCTGCATTGAGAAAATCATGATTAAAATGGGGTTTAACATTACTTTTGTGAAGCTGCTGATGGTTTGTGTATCTTCTACTTCTCTTTCTTTCTGTATCAATGGAGCAATAACTGGTGTTATCTACCCTTCAAGGGGAATTAGGCAGGGGGATCCACTATCCCCCTACCTGTTCATCATATTCACAGAACTACTCTCAGCCCTCATCTCTGATTCCCTCCACAGAGGCACTCTTAGTGGATTGAAGCTATCAAGGAATGGCCCTGCTTTATCTCATTTACTCTTTGCAGATGATGCTTTGTTTTTTTTGCAAAGCAGAGACCAGCCAAGAAAATGAGCTTATGACTCTTCTGGAAAGATATAGATTGTTTACAAGGCAAAGAGTCAACCTCCACAAGTCCTCTGCATTTTTCAGTAAAACACTCATTTAGTGTTCAGAATCATATCTTTGCTGCTCTTCAAGGAATTCAGATTCACTCTTCTACAAGATACCTTGGCCTTCCTTTGGGGATAGTCAAAACCAAGGCTGAAGTATTTGCCTATGTCATTGATTCTGTGAAAACCAAAAGAACAAGATGATCTCAAATGCAGGCAAAGAAGTCCTTATTAAAGTTGTGCTTAATGCTTTGCTTGTATTCACCATGTCTTGCTTTAGACTACCTGTCTCTATCTGCAAGACTATTGCTAGCATAACAGCCCAGTATTGGTGGTGCCACAGTGAAACACAAGAGAAGCGCATCCATTGGAAAGCATGGCAGTTCCTTACAGTGCCTAAAGCTGATGGTGGCATTGGCTTCAAAGATATCAGTCTATTCAATCAAGCTATGCTGTGTAAACAACTTTGGAGAATTGTGTCTCAACATGAGCTTCTGATCAGTAAAGTACTCAAAGACATATATTTTCCAGATTGCTCCATCTTTGAAGCAACTAAAACTCAGAATGGCTCCTGGATATGGCACACTTGGCTGGATTGTCTGCCCATATTTGCTCAAGGATTTAGAACTGAAATCAGAAGTGGTGCTGAGACAAGAATTGCTTATTGGAATTGGGTCCCATCTAAACCTTTGTCTTCTCCAAAGCTGTTGGCAATTGCCCAAGGCCATATCACATGGGTAAAAGAGCTGATGCTAGAAAATGGAAGAGCTTGGAATACTTGGCTGGTGCAGCAGCTCTTCAATCATGAAGAAAGCCAGGAAATACTGAGTATCAACACTATAAACCCTGACAGGAAAGACAGAGTCTTCTGGTGCTTGGAAAAGAAAGGTAACTTCACTGTCTCCTCAACATACTCCTACCTGATTAAACAGAAAGTCACTAGGCTGGACTTACCATCTAGCAGTAACAATGCAAATGCTTTAAGGAAAGCAAGACTCAGAGGATGGTAGCTTAAAGTTAAAGGTACCCTTAAACACTTCATTTGGAAATGTATCACAGATACTCTTCATGTGAATACAAATCTGAAGAAAAAGGGTCTTGAGGTTGACATTATGTGCCATTGCTGTGGAGAACTACCAGAAACAGTGGAACACATGCTATTTGACTGTCCAAGAGCTAAGATGTTGTGGGAAATGGGACCAGTTAGCTGGGATGGGGTAACTTCATTGGGGTGCAAATTCAAAACTTGGTGGTGGCAGCTTGGTGGCAGCTTAGTGAAACTGATAAGACAGCCATAGCCGAGGACAGAATTTAGCTTACTACATATCTACTATGGTAGCTATGGAGGTCAAGAAACCTGTGGTTGTTTGAGAAGAAGCTTATGTCTATTCCAGTGGTGATCAAAAGAGCCCACAAGGAATGGCTGGAATTTAGGAATCCTTAATTGGTCTGCTCTTTTATGGGATATGTCTTTCTTTTTTTCTTCATCTAGTCTGTTTTGTTTGTTTTGGTTTTTGCCTTTGTAGTACGGATGTTTGTAGCTGTTGGTTGTTGAGTTGAAAGTTGGTTTGGTAGCTAGGCTTTGGAGCAGTGGCTTGTCAGTCCATCTTTCTAGTTTAGTCTGATTGAGTTTGTCTAAGCCGCTTCAAAGCGTGTCCTCTCATTTTTATTTTCTCTTTTTGAGTCAGTTATTGGCTAGTTTAGCCCCGTTTGTATTCGAATATTGTTCCCGGTTTGATTAATATATGGCTTCTATCGTTTAAAAAAAAAAGCTTATTATATAGTATAAGTACTAAAAATGTTATAATATAATCTTGACTGGTGAGGTGTATCATTTTAAATAAAAACAACAATGTTATTTTGTAAGAATATTTAAAATTTTAAAATAAAAACTTGTATTTTTATTTTTACACATATTAAATATAAAATTTTTATTAACACATATTGACTATGTATAGTTAGGACAACAAAATTGCCTAGGCTCGCCCACATGTAGATCCACTGTTGGACAAAGATAAGGGTGGGCTGAGTTTTAAAGACCTCACTGCTTTTAATGGTGCTTTGTTATTGAAGCAATTAGGGAGGTTTATCACCCAACCAAACCTTCTGATAAAATACTTCTGGCAGGGTAGTTTGTTTGAAGTGTCTCCTAAGTCACAGGACTCCTGGCTTTGGAAAAGTTTTCTAAGTGTTAGGAAATTTCTACAATGGGGTGTTAGGTTTAAAGTGGGGGATGGATCTTCTATATCTATATGGAATTCTCCTTGGATTCCTACTTGCCACCCTTTCAAACCTGAATGTCATTTTTCTGCTGATAGGACTAGATTAAATAAGGTGAGTGAATTAATGAGAGTGGGTAGAAGAGAGTGGGAGTATGAGTTAATTTGTCAAACTTTTGATCCTCAAATTGCAGATATCATTTTTAGAATCCCTCTGTCTGGCCCTGGTGGACCTGATAAACTGATATGACATTGGCATCCTAAAGGATTATTTTCAGTGAAGGAAGTTTACAAAGCCATCATGAAACATAAAACAAATCTACAAGGAGTGGCTAGTTCAAGTTTGGATCCAACACTCATTTAAAAAATGTGTAGGACAACGTGGCAACTGAACATCAAATCAAAGATCAAGAACTTTCTGTGGAGGTGTTGGTTTGGGCATTTAAGTACTAATGATCAACTCTTGAAGAGAGTTATGTCTGCTGACTCCATTTGTGCTATTTGTGGAGAATATGAGGAGGATCTAAATAACATTCTATTCAACTGTAAGAGAGCTAGAAATTGTTGAAAACTATGTGGAATAACTTGGTGTAAGCAACACTTAGATTTTGTGTTGTTCCAGAAGTGGTGGCTTAATATCTGTTGTGCTAACCAAGGTTGTCAAAATTGGACCGGTCATCGAACCGATCAAGCTATTGGTTCAATGGTTCATTGGTCCGACCAGTGGTTGAACCGGTTGGACCGTTATTTAATTTACTAATATTTTAAAATATATATAATATTTCATAAATATGGTTAACTTTATTTTTAAGTTATTTAATTTGTTGATATTTTAAAATATGTAATACTTTATAAATATTAAATACAATTAACTTAATTTTTAAAAGATTGGTCCAACCATACATACATTAAGCAATAAAATACTAAACAAAAATATGGAAAAAGGATTCCTCCCACTCCCAAATTATACACTAAAAATAATATGACAAAAGTAAAAAATATAGCAAAAGAAACCTCGTGCAGGATGTCACAATTCAACAATTGCAAAATGGAATTCTTACTAGGTCCCACATTGGCTATCATTTGAACAATAGGAATTCTTACTTTGTCCCACATCGGCTATCATAAGTTCATAATAGGTAAGGTGATCTATAAATGTGTTAGAAATTATTTGGAGTACAAAGAAAAAACAGACCGGTTGAACCAAACGGTTTTTGGACGGTTTTGTCCGGTTCAACCGGCAATTGACCGATTCTTCTAACAGCTGGTTCATTTGAGAGAACCGAAGCGCTGGAGTGGCTGGTTCCCGGTTCAACTGGTTGGACCGGCCGGTCCAGTCCGGTTTTGACAACTATGGTGCTAACAATCTGGTGTTGAAAGACGATAGATTAGGTTTGTCTACATTTTTGCTTTGGCATTTGTGGAAGGCTAGGAACAAATGGCTTTACAAGGGGGATAGGATACATGATCAACAGCTTGTGGAAGAAGCCAAAATTGAATGGTTGGAATGGACAGAAGCAAAGACTGCTAGGTAAACTATTAATAGGGGGTCTTCACAGGGGTAGATTCAACATGATAATTTTTCCATGGAAGTAGGTCAGTCAGTGATGACTCTCAGTGCTTCAATGTCTACTGTTAGAGAGGTTTCAGTGGAGAGCTCTTTGTATCAGCAGGGTTCCATCATTTGTCAGTGGCAACGGGTGCTGCAGGGAGCTTCACAGGAAAGAGAAGGGTGGCTGATGGCTATATCTTGGTGTCTGACCAAAGGTAAAGAGAATAACTGCAACAACTTCTCTCTTTACCTGCATTCTACTAAATTTGTTGAAGATATTGGTAAAAGCTTGCCACTGGAGGACGATTTGAATCCAGTATTGATAGTAATTAGGGATTTGATTAAGTATTGTAATGTTTATGTTGGTACTATTTATTAGAATTGTGTATTTTGGATGTTATGGCTTGTTGCCTTTGAGGGTTAGGTTCACATTGTTCGCGCTATTTTCCTGCATTTGTAGGTTTGTAAGGCTGTAACCATTTGGTTCCCGGATACTTTCATTTGAGTTTTAAATTTTTAATGAAGTTTTTGTTTGTCGTTGGAAAAAAAAAAAAACATAATTCAAAATGAAATTGTTATTATTANTTTTCTGTTGCTTTTAACGCAGAGTAAAAAACCAAAACCACCATCCAACCACCAATTAAAGAGTAAGAGAAACCACCAAAAGCCACCACTCCTCTTCTATCTACTTCACGCTTTCTCCTCGTCGCCGACCGGTAACTCATTCCTTGAAACATACATAAATTGTGCCTCTCTATGGGTTTGTGTACCTGTAAGAGGAGGATCGTTCTTACCTGAATCCAAGGAACTCAGACGATTTTCTTTACCCTTTTTTTTTTGTTATTTTCGAAGAAATTAGGAGTTGGTGAAAATGGGGGTTTCACAGAGTGATGGTGGAAGAATGGAAGGGTGGCTGTATCTGATACGCTCTAATCGATTGGGGCTTCAGTATTCGAGGCGGCGCTACTTTGTTCTCCAAGATCACCTGCTCAGGAGCTTCAAAGCAGTCCCGCTTTCACCGGATGAGGTTTGCTTTGTTCTTCTAGATGCGCGTCGGTCAATATGGTTGTAGAATGGAGTGATTTTAATTTTGTTTTTGTGCTTATTTTTTAAAATAATGTTGTGCATCTGCATTGCATCTGTGCGAGGACATGCAAGCATATCCTCTTTGCTTTGTTGTGTTAGATTGCGAGGCAAATTAGTGGACAAGATACTTACAGTGAAGTTCTACCCTTGGCAAATTAATGGCAAACTCTAGTTTTAGCAGATGATGGAAACTATGAGTGTGCAGGTTGTGTGGACCTATTTCCCTTACTTGGCTTATCAAGAAACTCACAGTGAAGTTCTACCCGGAAGCAAATATTCATTATAGTTTACAACTTATAGAGGTTTATGGTTTAGGGAAGTAAATCTCTGGCAAGTTTGATGATGAACACTGCATGGGCCGTGATTGTAGAGTTGTTGGTCTGGTGTCCATCTTATTCTTAATTAGCTTTTGAGAATCAAACTATCTGGTATTACAACCATAGGTTTTGTGGATATGTGGATTTTGCATGATGGTCGAATTCAGTTACGAGCTAAATTTATTGGTAGACTGAAGATATGTACTGAAAAGATGTAGCCAATCTTGTACTTTGAAATAGTTTTCTCAGGGAATTCTCAGTGGAATGGTGACTTTTGGATGCCAAATATTGCTTTGTGTTTCTGGTATTGACATACGTTTGCGTACATGTATAATGAAATAAGCAACCCATTTGCCTATTCGTATGCACTTGCATGTAATAGTCACCATTGTCCTGAAATGTTTTGTGAATTTATCAATTGTGGACTTCACTGGTGATTCTTTTGGCTGCTTTTCCTTGAGAAAGTAGACACCTTCCGTAGCTGCATGTCATAAAGTTACACATGGTTGCTTTTGATGCTAAACTTTTGTATTTTACATTACATATTTGTACTATCATGCATTATCCAAAAAAGAGAGACTTGTTATATTTTATTTTTTGTCAGGAACCTGTTAGAAGCGCCATAATTGATTCCTGCATAAGAGTGACAGACAATGGGAGGGAAAGCATTCAGAGGAAGGTATTAAAACATGAGCAAGTGTTGCCTGAAATTTCATGTTTGTGCATACATCATGTCCTGTACCAAGCTTGCATTGATGAACCTTTTTTATTTTTGTAAAATTTGCAGGTCATTTTCATGTTCACACTCTATAACACATCGAATCCCGATGATCAACTGAAGGTGTGAAGTTTTCTCTTCTGAAGTTGTTACTTTTTCTTTTGCTTTAACATTGTTAGAAAATTTTCCACTCTGTAGTTGGGAGCAAATAGTCCGGAAGAAGCCGCAAAATGGATCCAGTCCTTTCAGGAGTCAGCTTTAAAGGTAGGATTGCCATGTCTCATGTTTTTGGATTAACTATACGGCTAAAAACTTATATATATATATATATCCTATAAATGCAGTCGGAGCAGAACCTTGGAAATTCTGAATATGCTAATCGTGAACCACAGTCATTAAGGTAAACTAATTAGCATTTTACGCAATGATTAACTAACCAATGCTAAGTTAAAATAACCCTGGTAGACTGTCGACATTCTGGATATGGTTTATGTACTTGAACCAATATTCTTAATAGGAAATCAGGTTGTTGAAGATTTTCAATACGTTTAGTAATTTTTTTTTTACTCAGTTATGAGTGGAACAGTTTATGTTCTTTATCCTGATTATCTTTTTCTTTTTCTTTTTTCCTTTTATATAGGCTAAATTGTTCTCATAAGCATTCCCATTCTGTTGACTGGACTGCCTACTCATCCTCAGTCACGGATGCAATGACTTCTGACGTTATTGCTCCATCACCTTGGAAAATTTTTGGTTGCCACAATGGTATAATCTGATTTCAATTCGTATAGTGTGAAATGACTATATGCCTCATCTAACACAAAAGTCATGCAGGTCTCCGATTATTTAAGGAGGCTAAAGATAAAGAATTTAATGGAAAGGTAGGTTTGTGAAGATTTATCATGTCATTAGAGTCTTAAAAATCTTAAATCAAATTAATGTTTTTTGATGTTATGTAGTGGGATGATCATCCAGCAATAATGGCTGTTGGTGTAGTCGATGGACCTTCAGAGGCTATTTTTCAAACTCTCATGTCTCTTGGCCCATCAAGATCAGAGTAAGCTGCCATAATACCAGAAAATATTTCAGCCATTTTGACCACCACCACCACCACCCCTATAATAATAATAATAATAATAATAATAATAATAATAATAATAATAATAATAATAATAATAATAATAATAATAATATTGCTTTTGTTTACATGTGTGTGCGTTTGTAATGGTTACAACTTTTGTTTTCTGATACCGAGTCCAGCTTATCCTTCTTTGGAAGACATTTGTGGCTTCATCGTTTATGCATTTTGCTCATCTAAACGCATCCTATGACCTACTTAAGAAGGATGCCTGTATATATTTCTTCAGTACGGAGATTTAATACTTGTCAAAAGTCATAGTGCTTTACTATTGGTTTAAAAGGATATTTTATCGTTGTACAGATGGGACTTCTCTTTTCACAAGGGTTCTGTGATTGATCATCTTGATGGTCATACTGATATAGTTCACAAGCTTCTATACCGTCATTGGCTACCTTGGTCTGATGTGTACTTTGTCTCTTATTACTTTAATCGTTTATTTGTCTTTAAGAGTTGATTTGTGATTTACATTTTTGCAGGGGTATGAAACGAAGAGACCTTTTGTTAAGGCGCTATTGGAGAAGGGAAGATGATGGTACATATGGTAATTCTTACTAAGTTTAATCCTATAAATAGTATTTTGGATTTTAACTGATCAGGAATAACTTGATTTTATTTATTTATCTGCAGTGATTCTTTACCATTCTGTGTTCCATCAGAGGTGTCCTCCTAAAAGGGGTTATGTACGCGCCTGCCTTAAAAGTAATGTATGCTTTACAGATGTAAATAATGGGCTTTTTATTCTTTATTTATTTTTTATTTTTTCTCCCGTGCGCCATACTTAGCCATCTGGATATATCATGATAATTTTCCAATACTTCACACTCCGCATGCTCCTTATCTCAGGAGACATTTTTATGTCAATTTATTGAAGCCCAAGTACGTAAAATCTTAAGATGGAGCATAAATTTGCCTGTTATTAACTTTTTGTCATTTTTTTCTTTTTTCTTGTTAATAGTCATTTTCAGTGTTGTCTCAGTTTGAACTGAGCTCATATAAATTACACTCTGCTGTTTGATAAGATGTGGTCTTTATGGTGCTTGATGGTTCTAATTGGTTGTCTTGTGGATGATACTATGAATTACAGGTGGAGGATATGTTATATCTCCAGTTAATCAAGGAAGGCGTTCTGTAGTGAAGCATATGCTTGCTATTGACTGGAAATATTGGAAATCTTATTTGCAGACATCATCGGCGAGATCAATTACAATTAGCATGTTGGGGAGGCTTGCTGGTGGTGCTCCTTACCTATTTCTCCTCTCTCATGATCATTGCCAATTCTTAAATATAAGTACCATTGAAGTTGGAACCAACCAACTTTGGTTCCTAAAGTTTAAAATTGTGATTTCCTAAAGGCTTATGTAATAGTCATTCTGATATTAAATGGCTACGGATGCCCGCGAGGAGTGAACATGCCTAACCTTTCCCGTGTGTGGATTACATTTGTTAAAGTATTTTCTTTTTGTTTGTGTACCGTCGCAAATTTATTTGGAGAAAGAAAATGACAAAATCTCAATGATGTAAATATCTTGGAAAATAAATTTATAGTTAGTAGAACTTGGACGACATAATTGACAGTATCTCTGAAACCAATATAAGGAGATATTTGCCAGCTCATTTATTTGGATAAGACAACTCCTTTGATTGACTCAACTTCACTGCTCTGCTTGTAGCTTTGCGGGAGCTGTTTAGGGCAAAATTTGATTGTTCTTCCTCTGGTTTCTCATCTGGTGAGCTAATGAGCAGCACCACAATGCAGCAAACCAGAAAGGAACTGAAAGTTAAAGTTGAAACTAGAGCGGAGAGTGGGAAGAATAAGGAGGATATGGAGGAAGAACCAGTTAAAACACCTTCTGAGCGTTCGAGTCTTGTAGGATTAAATGACACATCAGATGAATTCTTTGACGTCCCTGAGCCTCTGGATTATGATCAGTCAGGAAGCGGTTGGTCTTCTGACTATGATCAAGAAATTTATTCTCAGGTATGAACTCTCACATCCTGATTAGGGCATGGCAGCTACTTGGATCAGTGACATGATTTTAAATGTTGATGCAGTAATTTAGTTTCCATCCAGATCTGAGAGCATGGCAAGAAGTAACATGACTCAAAACTGATGAGGCACAATTTTTTCTGGGAAAATTGTTAGTTATCCATTTAAATTTAGTTTTTGTTATCGGAATTTCGATCTGTCCATTTAGGTGCTAGATTTCCCTCTGATGGACAACAGGTATATATTATTTGAAAAGGTTAGGCCGCAATGGTACCCTTCATTTTGAGAATTCTTTCAGTTTGAGAATATTAATGGCTTTATGTCTTCTGATAGAAGAATGAAGTACTTTGTTAGTATGAATGGATATAAGATAGAATAGGGTGGTGATAGTTGATTTGAAATGCCGATGTAAAATAATGAGTGGTAGTTAATAATAGAGCTGGGAAAAAGTGAATATTATGGAAAACTGTCTAATAATGATTAGTGATTTGATGATTGATTTGAAAATAATTAGATGTGAATGGTAGGGAACAGAAAATGAAAGGGGATGAACTAGGGGAAAATTTCTCGCATGAATAATTTAATCACTCTATTAAGCGTTTCTATCTTCTGGCATACTGCTAATACCTATCGGTTAAAAATGGAAAGAAATGTCGGATTTGTATTGTTTACCATGGGCATGTTTTCCATAAGTTAGTTATTATCACTGTTCTGGTGCAATCTTCCAGGACGCACGCCAACCAAAGATGTCAACTGCTGCTGTATTCGTGAAAAAATTGCACGATCTTGCAGGTCTGTTAACTGAAACTTGTAACTGCAGCAAATATCTCGGCGTTTATCTTCATTTATTAGTTTTTAGTTTTTGAAATATTAATAGTATCGAGATGTTGGCACTGCAGTTCAGAAGAAGGGTTATGTAGACTTGCATGAGATGATAAGGGAAGACAGCCAATCATGCAAATATGGCTGCACCCTTCCCAAGGATCCAGCCTGTAATTTTCTCTGCAGTTGGACATCAACAGACCCCTCAACGTTTTTAATTCGTGGAAAGACTTATTTGGACGATAGGAAGAAGGTATTTCTCTTTTAAAATGAACTTCAATGCACTGTAAGGCATTTCCTGTTTCATCGTAAATGGATATTCTCTACACCTGTTTTTATTCTTATAGAATTCAATTATGTCGATAAACTTGTGTAACGCATAACGTATGGCACATCAACTGTTCGATTAAAGTTCCACAGTGGAAGTTTTACCATAATATTGTGAATGATGCTATTGAATGGCTGAGATATGCATGACTATGTATATAGTTTCAAGTCTTGAATTGTGGTTACTACATTGTAATTTTGCCTTTTGAGTTACATGAGTCACACAACCTTTAGGTGTAGAAGTGCTTTTGTAGTTGTAGATGCTGTGTAACTATTAGCGACCTGAACTGTGCTTAAGTATTCTCTTGGGCATTATATTTGTGTTTTCTCTTTCCAGATTAAGGCGAAAGGGACATTGATGGAAATGGTCGGTGCTGACTGGTTGAGATCTGACAAGAGAGAAGATGATCTCGGGGGCCGCCCAGGGGGCATAGTTCAGGTTCGAGTGTTATCCTCAGGAATGAAATTTTGTCTATTTTTAAATGATTCATTAACATGTGTATATCCACTATCAAAATTGCTTACTGATCCGTGGAGCTGAAAAGCCAGTTCTTATATTTACTGTGCAGAAATATGCCGCAAAGGGGGGTCCTGAGTTCTTCTTTATTGTTAACATACAGGTGATTGAGGCTCGTTTACGTTTTAATCAATCTTGTTCTTTCAAATTTCTTTTACTGATAATATTTCACTTGCTTGTACTAGGTCCCAGGTTCGACAACATATAGCCTTGCTTTATACTATATGATGAGTACTCCATTAGAAGATGCTCCTTTGCTCGAGAGCTTTGTCAATGGAGACGACGCTTATAGAAATTCGAGGTTCAAGCTCATTCCATATATTTCGAAGGTCGGTTTGGTTTTGTTGAGTCATGTACCATGAGCAATATGATGACTAAGTCTTCTTTGTGATCTATCTAAATCATAGTGTTTCAGTTTTTCACATATGGCCTGTGGGGTCCTTTTAATTTGCCCTTGATTTTGAACCTTTTTATCACCCTTAGTTCCTTTGCGCCTACCTTTTTGTCCCCTGGTTCTCTTTCCAGTTTAAATGATGAACACAGAGGTTCCTTTTTGTATGAATGTTTATATCATGACATTCTTCCAGATAACCTCTGTATTTCCCTTTTCTTATCTTTTTTATTTTATTTTTTCATTTAAGTTTCATTTGGTTAGTTGATTTCAGCTCTTCTTATTTTAAGTGACAATGTTTTACGTTTTAACACTTGGTAATGTGGTTATTATATTATGTGGATCCTCCTTTACAACATTACCTTGATATTTTTGCTTAGGTTCCATTTGATTAGTTGTTCTAGCCTTGTAGATGACTGATATTATTTTAGGCATGTTATTATCGCTATTATTATATTCATGATGCAAAAAACACTGCACTTTGCCTATAACCATATAATATACTTGGCTTTAGACCTGAATACTGGACAATTTGTTTCTCAGGGTTCATGGATAGTAAAGCAGAGCGTAGGGAAGAAGGCATGCCTGGTTGGTCAAGCCTTAGAAATTAATTATTTTCGTGGGAAGAATTACCTGGAGGTAAGAACAACTTTAGTACTTTCCACTAACTTTCCTTTTCTTTTCCATTTGTTTTTTCTGAGAACCTTCGGTTGCATTTTTGCATTATCTTATTGTAGCGTTCACCACCACTGGTTCATTTTCTTGCAGTAGTTCAGTGATTAGCTTATAAACTGAAAGAAGGTGTGGTTTTCTTAACTATGATTTTGATTAGATTTTCAAGTCAAATGCCTTTGCACCAGAGAAAGGATTATTGGTATTTGTATGGTGGATGATTTTGGGGCTTCTTTTTGAAAGTCTAAGTTTTTCAATGCATTATCTATGGTAAATTTGTTGTTCACATGGTGATGCTATACCAGTTCTATTTGTAGAATTCAGTGTTCTTATTTCTATATTTTTTTTTTCCTTCTTCAAATTATGATAAAGTAGTTATTGCTTCTTTGAAATCACATCTCTGCCCCAACGAGGACATGAAGAGAATTTAAACCTACCTGGATGGAAAAAAAAAAATGAAGGAAATAAAAGCCATACATTACTTTCTTATGCCTCCAGATGAAGATTTAATCAGACATGCACCATCACCTGTCTTTGATGCAGTGTATAAGATCTTTCTCCGCGTTTAAGATTGATGACTAATGTGTCTTAATCAATTCACAGCTTGGTGTTGATATTGGCTCATCAACTGTTGCAAGGGGTGTGGTTAGCCTCGTTTTGGGTTACCTGAACAATCTAGTTATTGAGATGGCTTTCTTAGTACAGGTAAAAACTACGATTCCTTTAGAGGAATAGTTCAAGTTGATTTGCCTTTTCTTTTCCTTTCTTGTTTTTGATTTAACTATTGCCAGGCCAACATAAGTCCACTTGTCAGTACTCATTGGATAATTATCCATGTGGTTGTTGCAGTTTAAATTTTTAACGACTATTCTTATCATGAAAATGTTCTATTACAGGCTAATACACCAGAAGAATTACCGGAATATCTTATTGGCACCTGTCGGCTTAACCATTTGGACGCCTCTAAATCGGTATTAGTAAAACCGTACTCTTGACACTGAAAATTCATCACTCAATATTTTTCTCTCGCAACAATTGCCGAAAACCACCAACTCACAAGTGGTGTGTTGAGATGCACAAAAGTTTGTGAGCGATGACAAAAATGATTGTACATGGGTTTCTTGCTTAGTTGGCATTCTTTGTATTCAAACAAGTGGAATGAGTAGCTTATTGAACTTTGCCGTGATTCTTTTTAAAATACATATAGATTTGGTGTATAGAGTTGTGCTGGATTGTACGAATATTGTGTGAAAAGTTGTTGATTTCTGATTAAGTTGGCCATAGAAGTTTTCATGAGTAATATGATGAGCGGGTCCAGAGGAGGTGGTCCAGGTGGAAATACTCATATATCATAAATAGGTAGGGACATATTCAACTGTATTCTTAAACTTACTTTTTCTTCACTGGAAATGTTCTGTTTTACTATTCTCTAGAAGGAAAATTAGGGATGAAATACATCCAAAGGGCTCCTTTGGGGTTGAATTGAACCACAACATCAAATAGTGTAGAATACTGTTTGAGCAACTGGACTTGTACTTACAAGTTTGTTGTCCTTGAATCATTAGATCCAACCGTTTAATATTGTTTGTTAGGATTTATGAAATGTCAAATAGTGTCTGAGAAGTAAATTTGTGTTTTCCTGTTATTATTATTATTATTATTGTTTTTTTTTTAACTAAATATCAANTTGAATTGGATGCATATTTAAGTTAGTAGAGCGTCTTGCCGTTAGGAAACAATTTTTAATGCTACAAAACCAAATCCTCAGTCAAACTAGTAAATTGTGTCGGCTAATGCAACAGATCATCCACGGTGTCGGTGGTGTGAATGCAATCAGAGCCGTTGATTTTGACACATTCACTTCACACAAATTGGTGCGTGTTTGATATGAAAGATTCACAATTTTTTGTATGTTACCAAGCTAAACGCCTCGTATACTGGTACCGATTCTAACTTTAACTAGTCTTTTCAGTTATTTTATTTATTTTTATTCAAAATATCATTGTCCATTCTATCTTTAAACAAAAAGGGGAAAAAAAAAGTAGTGCAGACAGTATCGTGATTTTAATTATTTTATGAGTACGTAATGTGAATCCATAAGGTCTAAACTCTAAACTTGCAAATAAAAAAATACAGTTTGTATATGTACAATTAAAATTGCTCCTGGTGGTGTGCGGGATAAATTTCTCTATTCTTAAATTTTCACTCTTTACTCTTAATTTTTCACCTCTCACGCATGACATCAATTGAACATTACAATTTACATATAACACGTATGGCAAATAAAGAGAAGGATTNATCATGTTCAATAAATTATCATATTTAATAAATTATTATGTTTAGTAAAAGTACCTTTTTTAAATTATTTAATATATATATATATATATATATTTCGCAAAAATAATTCTAGCACAAGTAGATTTGAAATTCTGGCTCCGCCCCTAGGCATTATAGAATTTATGCGAGCCAATCAGCCTAAGGCGCCTGCCCATACTATATAACCATCCGCATGTGACATGCTGGAGTTATTTTATAAATTTTATTTATTTCTATTATTTATATATGTTGTGGTTTTCTGTGGTTGCATTATTCTTGGGTTTTTTTAGGAAATGAATGGAGGGTCCCGAACTCGTACCATGTTTGGTTTTAAAAAATAAAAATAAAGTATTTTCCCATGTTCATATACCCCAATTAAGGTGGTTGTGGTTTAAAAAAAATGAAAAATACATTTAGTTTGCCATGTTTGTATACCCCGATTTAAGGATGTTGTGGTCAAATTAATAATTAAAAATACTTTGTCAAACTACCGGTTCAATGGTTCTGATCCGACTATTGGTTGAACCAGTTGGACCGATATTTAATTTATCAATATTTATTAAATTATATAATTCTCACTAGGTACCAAAATCGATTCACAAAGACAGTAAGAGGGGGGAGAAAAACACAACCTGAATTTAGCTTTCTAAGTTTATAATAATCCTACTAGTACAATACCCGTGTATTACACGGGTACTTGCTAAAAAAATATATTAAAAATTAAATAATAATAACAAAAATAGTTTTAGTTTTTCAAATACTCTTTGGAAAAATATATTATTATTTATATTTAAAATGACCTTATAACTTACACGACTTACCATCTTATGTTATATTTTTTTTTAATTTATATCAAATAAATACTTTGTAGTTAAGTTAGTTTAAATAATTTAATTTTTTACAAATTACTATTAATAGATTTATTATAAAAATAAATAAATTTATTTATTTATTTTGTATGTATAATATATATGTCAAATTAAAGCTCATTAAGATATAAATAATTTGATATATTATATATATTTATTAATAAATAAATTATTTTATTAAATTTTAAATATATTTATAATTTAAGTTAGTAAATTTGTTATAATTTAAAACAAAAATTAGAAAAAAATATATCTTATAAATTACGTTTGCAATAGGAAATAGTATTAAACATAATTAATGCTTTTAAAAGGAACCATAAATATCCAGTATATTTATGGACATTCTAAGTCTAATTACTTTTGGATTGAAAGTAAATTAAAATTCATCCAAGTCAAATAATAAAACTTAAAAATTCGCCATATAGAATTTCGAAGCGTGCGAACCTGCAATTAAGATCAACACTTTATGAAATTATATATAGGAGGATTCTTAGTTGCACCTGTTTTGATTTTATACATTCTCTTTTAAAGCATGTAACCAATTATCATAATAAATCCAAATAAAAAAAATATCAAATTTTATGAACATTGATGATATCTTTAGTAAAACACAAGACAGTAGACTAAAACTTGCCATCAATTAGTTATTATGGTCGGTCCACTTTGGTTTGTTAAACATTGAGTTCAAGCCCTGAAATCATGAGTGATAACATCACACCAACAGATTATTTCTCCCATGCCGCATCCACAAAAATATTTTGATGAGGTATGGATAAGTTTGACTAACCATTAAATAATCAGTAGCGACAAAGAAGTAATCGTGGCTTAATTAACTATAAATTTATAATCATACGCGAATAGTCGAGTCAATATATCATAATATTTTAACAAAAGTATATATTTATACTATAAAATATTATAATTTTAATTTGTAGAGTACGGTATTTTTCAGTTTGAAAAAATATATATGTATATATATATTTTGACAAAGTATAACTATGTCATCCACACATACGTATAACTGTAAGTATTTTAACAACTTTTAAAGAAAAATGAAAATAGAGAAGAATGGTATATATGAGTTGGGTTCACATGAGAATGATACTTAGCGCGAGAAACAAGAATACATCGCAGTCGTCCGATCGGATAATCCAACAGCTAAAAAAAAGCCAAACATCTATACTCATTAAGTATAAATTGGACATTTCCCAATTACAACCACAGTGGGCCACCCCTAATCAGACCCACTCACCCGCATTTGTCTCTCTCTCTCTCTCTCTCTCTCACACACACACACACACGCACAAACACACAGCCCCTCCCCGTCACAACCTCCCCTCGGTCACCACCTGTCGCCCGCGAGCACCGCCTCCGCCATCACCTTCCTCAACTACCACCGCTTACCACAGCCGCCACCGCCTCAGAGAATCTCGCCTCCGTAAGCACTGGGAGAAGACCACCAGAATTGAGATCTGTTGCCCCCCACTCCTTCACACATAATTCCACCTGCGTGCCCGACGATCGAAGATGGGTCCATCATCTTCCTCAGCGCCCCTTTCCTATCTCACTGTCGTGAATCGAATCACCTTCATCGTTTTTATCATCGCCCCGGAACCCTAACCAGACAACTACCCGCGGCTGACCCTACGACATCTCAGCCGCCGTCAAAATCAAAATCAAATTTCGAACTCTCCGACTTCCTCCTCTAGCAGACCGACGACTGGACCGTGGCATCCCCTGGCGGACGCCGTAGACGCGCGACGGTCAGTGGTTGAGTTTCGAAAATTCGTCGGCGAGATTTGAAATTGGGGATGAAGGAATTGTGAAAATTAGATAGAATTGAGGACCTAATTGTAATTTTAAAATATTTAATTATATTACAATTTAGTTCATGGTTTAAATCTGAAATTTTTTAAAAACTTTAAAAATTGCACTTTAATGTACATCGTATTACACTATATAGCGTTCGAAATTGCACATTAAAAATAGCATGGTACAGACTGCACTATATTGTTAGACGAACTGCACTTTAGTGCATGTGAAATTGCACTTTATGGCAATAGTGCGCGAAACGCGAAAGATGAATGAAATACCCTCGCGTGAAAATCAAAAGTCCACTTATTTACAAAAATGTCACTGCGTGTTTGACTAAAGCTGGACCCTTTGACCGCGTCTAGAGCGTTGATATATCACATCCAAGGGATATGATTCATTTTTTATTTTTATTTTTAAATTAGATAGTGTTGGGGACAATTTTGCTATTTTATTAATTTCGAGTACTTTTTAATTTAGTTCATGACCAAATATGTAATTTATAGCAATATCTCATAAATGAATATTAATGACAAATAAAGTGTACAAAGTTTAAGAATTTAATATGTAAAAGTGCAATATATAAAAAATATTAAAAATAATAAATATACTTTTATAATAATAAATAATAAATAAACGTCGACTGCATAATAGTGTTAGATGAATTGCAATTTAACGACTATCAGGTTGCACCATAATGTTAGACACATTGCACAGAATGATCAAAACTGAATGAACTAAATAGTTCGTTTCAAAATCTTATATTTCGGCTCGATTATTTATTTTCATTTGTAGAATATCAATTATGTCGGTTCAATATTGACATTATTTTTTAAAGTAACAAANAACGACATAGCATGCTCTATTCATAAAACCATAAAATGGTAATGTACAAATGATCAAAGTCTGCCTGGGTAACTGAGAGGCCATGCAAATACAATTGGCCTAGCCGAGCCAAATGAACAAACACCAAAGGAAACTACATAAATCAACCACTCCAACAGACATATGACACAGACAGTACAAATGACCCAAACACAACCAACAAATACAACTAATGAAGATAAGCCAAAAACTAAAAGTAAAACCACTACCAAACAGCCTAGCTCCATTTTAGTTCCTGCCATTTAAGTTCATGAGTTGGTGCCATCAAAATCAAGCCAGTCCCTCAGTGCTGCTGTTGTTGTATGAAATTAACAACTAAAAATCACAAACAGCAAGGTGTGTTTTAAACAAAAATAAATGTATAATTGGATTGTATTGATATTTTCACAAGAGTACAGGAAGTCGGTTTTTTATTCTTAACCGAGATCATTTCAAGTCCGTGTACAATGTATGTTCCAAGGTTCAGAAAAAGACCCAAAAGTCCTTGTACAATTATAAATTCTGCTATTTATAGTACGGTCGTTTTTGTCTTTTTGTCCGAGGTAGATAAGATTGCATTTAATGTTGAGCAGCTTCAATTAAACGGTGTGTAGCGGAATGAGGAAACATCAATGATTGCTTTTTGTTTTGATGGTCCAATCGAATGTGTACAGCTCCTCTTGCTTGAAAATTCGATCTTCTCGGATGTCGGATGAACGGATAATCTTTTGTAAACATAATCACATTGGTGAAGTCGGTTGTCGGCTTCTGATAGATAG